TGTTTGGCATTTTCTTCCAAAACAGGCCTGTTTCGTCACAATTGAACACTTGTTGGGGTTTTAATTTTTCAGCCTCTATGTACCCCTTGAATTCCTGAACATATTTTTTCAGCCGCATATTTGTCAGAACTTGCAGCCTCGCCATGCCTTGCCACACTGTGTATGCCACTATGCTTCTTAAATCTCTCAAACCAGCCTTTGCTGGCCTTAAAGTCACTAACATCAGCACTAGTTCCAGGCATTTACTTTACGAGATCTGCATGCAACTGTCTTGCTTTTTCGAAAATTATCGACTGCATAACACTATCTCCTGATAACTGTTTCTCAATGATCCACACCAACAACAAAATCTCCACATCTTCCAGTATTTGCGATCTCTGTTTAGCGAGCATATTTGCACCTTTTGCAACAACAGCTTCCTTGATTTCCTTTTTCTTGGCCATGACAGAAGCGATGGTTTTATGGGGTTTGTTATACAACCTGGCAAGCTCTGCCACACGTACTCCACTTTCATATTCTGCAATGATGTCTTTCTTGAATTCTATAGTGTTTCTTGCCTTCTTTACCACAGGGCTGGCACTAGAAGATTTCTTTGGGCCCATGGTGGCTTATTTAACAGTTACAAGCACTAAAAAGAATGGAATACAGTGGACCCCCGGTTAACGATTTTAATCCGTGCAAGAGGGGTAATTGTTATGCGAAATAATCGTTATGTGAATGAATTTTCCCCATAAGAAATAATGGAAATAAAATTAATCCGTGCAAGACACCCAAAAGTATGAAAAAAAATTTTTTTTACCACATGAAATGTTAATTTTAATACACACAAACTGAAAAAGGCATGCACACTTACATGACACTTACTTTTATTGAAGATCTGGTGATGATTGATGGGATGGGACGAGGGGAGAGCATTATCTTCTTACTGTTTAGAAGGGGAATCTCCTTCCATTAGGACTTGAGGTAGCAAGTCCTTTTTTGGGGTTACTTCCCTTCTTCTTTTAATGCCACTAGGGCCAGCTTCAGAGTCACTGGACTTCTTTCGCACAAGATATCTGTCCATAGTGGCCTGTACCTCTCGTTCCTTTATGACTTGCCTAAAGTGTTTCACAACATTGTCAGTGTAATAATCACCAGCACGGCTTGCAATAGCTGTGTGAGGGTGATTTTCATCCATGAAGGTTTGCACTTCAAGCCACTTTGCACAGATTTCCTTAATCTTTGTAGTAGGCAACTTCTTCAATTTCTCTCTCCCCCTCCTCTGAACCAGTTTCCCCAGGTCTGGCCTCTTGCTCTTGAAGTTGATCTATCAGCTCATCAGTGGTTAGTTCTTCATTGTCCTCCTCCACCAACTCTTCCACATCCTCCCCACTAACCTCCAACCCCAAGGACTTTCCCAATGCCACAATAGATTCCTCAACTGGCATAATCATCTCAGGGTTAGCCTCAAACCCTTCAAAATCCCTTTTGTCTACACATTCTGGCCACAGTTTCTTCCAAGCAGAGTTCAAGGTCCTCTTAGTCACTTCCTCCCAAGCCTTACCTATAAGGTTTACACAATTGAGGATATTAAAGTGATCTCTCCAAAACTCTCTTAGAGTCAGTTGAGTTTCTGAGGTCATTACAAAGCACCTTCAAACAGAGCTTTTGTGTACAGTTTCTTGAAGTTGGAAATAACCTGCTGGTCCATGGGCTGCAGGAGAGGAGTGGTATTAGGAGGCAAAAACTTCACCTTAATGAAGCTCATGTCCCCATAAAGTCGCTCTGCCACGTCTGTAGGATGACCAGGGGCATTGTCTAACACCAGGAGGCACTTAAGTTCTAATTTCTTTTCAGTTAGGTAATCTTTCACATTGGGGGCAAATGCATGGTGTAACCAGTTATAGAAAAATTCCCTAGTGACCCATGCCTTACTGTTTGCCCTCCACAGCACACACAAATTATCCTTGAGGACATTCTTTTGCCTGAACGCTCTGCGAGTTTCAGAGTGATACACTAATAAAGGCTTCACTTTGCAATCACCAGTAGCATTGGCACACATGAGAAGAGTAAGCCTGTCTTTCATAGGCTTATGTCCTGGGAGTGCCTTTTCCTCCTGAGTAATGTAGGTCCTGCTTGGCATTTTCTTCCAGAACAGGCCTGTTCATCATCACAATTAAACACTTGTTCAGGTTTCAGTCCTTCAGTTTCTATGTACTCCTTGAATTCTTGCACATATTTTTCAGCCGCTTTGTGGTCCGAACTGGCAGCCTCACCATGCCTTATCACACTATGGATGCCACTACGCTTCTTAAATCTCTCAAACCAACCTTTGCTGGCCTTAAATTCACTCACATCATCACTAGTTGCAGGCATTTTTTTAATTAAATCCTCATGCAACTTCCTAGCCTTTTCACATATGATCGCTTGAGAGACGCTATCTCCTGCTATCTGTTTTTCATTTATCCACACCAATAAGAGTCTCTCAACATCTTCCATCACTTGCGATCTTTGTTTCGAAAACACAGTTAAACCTTTGGCAAGAACAGCTTCCTTGATTGTCTTTCTGGGGGCCCACAATAGTAGCGATGGTTGATTGGGGTTTCTTGTACAGCTTGACTAGGTCGGCTATACGCACTCCACTTTCATACTTATCAATGATCTCTTTCTTCATTTCTATAGTAATTCTCACCCTTATTGGTGTAGGGTTGGCACTAGAAGCTTACTTGGGGCCCATGGTCACTTATTTTCCAGAAACAGCACCGAAAACACTGTAATAATACGAAATATTCCGAGTGTATGCTTGGATGTTACCGCGGAGGCTGGCTGGTAAACAATGGCACGGGCGGCACATGTGAGGCTGGCTGAGGGCGCACATTGGACGCGTCTCGGACGAAAATCGGTGAGCGGGTTTTTAATCGGTATGCGCGGCAAAAATTTTGCGATTAAAGTAAGCGGTATGCGAAATAATCGCTATGTGATGCCATCGTTATGCGGGGGTCCACTGTAATACGAAATGTATCGTATGAACGTGTGGCATCGTCCTCACTGGGTGATAAAAAATGGCACACTGGCTGTAAATGGTGTGTCAGGGCCGCTCGGGCCCCGTGGACACGTTCGGGATAAATGACTATTACAGAGCTCAGTGACAATCACCGAGTCAATATTTTGATGAAAAAACATTACTATTTCCGAATATTATGCAATTATGTAATTAACCCATCAACCTTGATAAGATGGACTGATTACATTGACTCCAGGCTGAGGGACTGATTACCTGAAACTCCTTTTAATCTTTACCAGTCCTCTTTGTAATGGAATGATGAAGCCACTGTGTGGCAAAAACATTTCCACAGTAAAGCTACCCAAGTGTTGCACATGTGTCTAATTTATCAACAGCATATGCATGAAAGGAGAAAAGTACCTAGGGATTTTCAGCTTGTATGTACTGTATAGTTCCTTAGTATAAGGGGGAAAAAAAAGAGTGAGAGCTATAGGAGAATAAGTGTGTAGAGTATAAAAGGCAGTGTATGGTAGAGTTACTACTGGAAGACTTATGGGTATGACAGACTAGTATTGCAGAGGAAGTGTCTTATGTTTAGACAAAGATAACACACCTTTTATTACAGTTATGGATTAAAAATGACAGGTGTATAGGAGGCAATGTTGCAATGTATGGAATAGGTGGTAGGTTATTTAAAGCAGTAAAGAATTTTTATGTGGAGAGCAAGGCTCAATCTAGGGAACATAGGAGAGGTTATTTCCAGGTAAAATCAGGTCTTAGACAGGGATGTGTGATGCCACCATGACTGTTAAGCAAATTTAAAGATGGGGTTGTAAAAGAAGTGAATGTGAGGTGTTGGGGAGAGGTGCAGGATTGAAAGATGGGGAATCCGGTACAGAGAGTTGTCACAGTTGATTTTTGCCAATGGGAGATTCTGAGGAGAAATTGCAAAGGCTGGTAGAAGAACTTGGGAGGGTATGCAAAACAAAGAGAATTAAAAGCGAACATAGGAAAAAGCAAGGTGACAGCATATCAAAAAATCTAGACAATGAAGATTGGATATCAGACTGAAGGGAAGGAGTATGAAGTTAAGGTGTTCAGAAATTAGGGAGTGGAATTATTATCAGATGGTTTTATGAGAGATGAGGTGAACCAGAGAACCAACAAAGGAAAAATAGGTGGGTGGGAAACTGAGATAAAGAACTTTATCCATGGAGGCAAAATGGGGAGTGTATCAGAGTATGGTGGTAGCAACTCTGCTGTATGGGTCTGAAGCATGGGTTTTAAACATTGTAGCAAGAAGACAATGAGTAGTGTGAACATTATACAGAGAATTCGGAGTTTGGAGATTGGGAGGCAGCGAAGGGTTACTAAAAGTATTATTCAGGGATCTGAGATGCAATTGTTGACGTGTGTTCAACATTTAGAGAGGACGGAGAAAAACAGGATGAACAGAATGTACGGTTACTCGTACTGAGGCCTTAACACACAGTAGGTCCAATGATGTACCACTGAGCTATGAGGCTGTCAACAGGAATATTTCAGAGACATCACTTCAGTGACAAGTCTCTATCAGTTATCAACATCTGTCACTTTACTATCTCTTACCATAGCCCCAGAAGTTTTCATAGTACATCTTGTCTCATATCCCTCAGAACCACATAGTCCATAAACCCAAAATATGATGTGATATGCAACAGTCAATAAATAAACAGAGTCGAGTCAAACAGATGTTTCTTATGACTCCGCTTATGTGTATGTAGCACATTTATAAAATCCTTGTTCTAAATCCCATTATATAGCAGTTAAAAATTATTATGCAAAATTATGTTTTGTGAGTTGAGGAATGGGAGAAGAGTTGTAGATACATTACACATTTATAATGGTAAGTCCACACACTTCTGATGAAACACATAGTGAAAAACTTTTGGTAAATGGGTTTTCTTTTTGGGGCCGCCTTTCCTTAGTGGAGAACAACCAAACAAAAATTCACAATACTGTATTGCAAAATACATACTTCATAAGTTTTGTCCTTAGTGCACAGGACTACCGCTTCCTGTAGGTCCCCTCGCAACACAGCTCTGAAACAACATTTATCATGTTAAACATTTATTTATTTTTATTTATTATTAATTTGAACATGATACAGTGAAGTACAAAGTTATTACAGTGCAATATGCCAAAGCCCCTTGTATGCAGAGCATTATGAGCAGGCTTAAAATTAACTTAAAATTAACTAAGCAATGATATATTCAGTGGTAAATACATTATTGTAAACAGGTGGCCCGGTGGCCTGGTGGCTAAAGCTCCGGCTTCACACACGGAGGGCCCGGGTTCGATTCCCGGCGGGTGGAAACATTTCGACACGTTTCCTTACACCTGTTGTCCTGTTCACCTAGCAGCAAATAGGTACCTGGGTGTTAGTCGACTGGTGTGGGTCGCATCCTGGGGGACAAGATTAAGGACCCCAATGGAAATAAGTTAGACAGTCCTCGATGACGCACTGACTTTCTTGGGTTATCCTGGGTGGCTAACCCTCCGGGGTTAAAAATCCGAACGAAATCTTATCTCTTATCTTATCTTATAACAATTTAGCACAAATGAGTGTATTACAAAGACAGGTCATATGGTCATTTACTGTGCTAATATAACACTGAAGATGAAGAACCAGTGATCTGAGGAGTTGACTACTAATAAGAATGATCACATTAAGTCCGCCATATAATACAGTAGTGAAAAATAACAACTATCAGATAAATAAAAGAAAACTCAGATGGATGGATATATATATATGTGTGTGTGCATATGTGCGTACATCCATAAGAACATAAGAACATAAGAATGTAGGAACACTGCAGAAGGCCTACTGGCCCATACGAGGCAGGTCCTTATCAAAACGACATCTACCTAAAGCTACTCAAGAAACTCCCGCACCCCCCAACACCAATCAAACCCAGCCCCTCCCGCTCATATATTTGTCCAGTCTCTTCTTAAAGCTACCCAAGGTCCTAGCCTCTATCACCCCACTGGGAAGACTGTTCCACGCATCTACAACTCTGTTAGAAAACCAGTACTTACCTATGTCCTTTCTAAATGTGTGCATACATGCGTGTATAAATAAACGTGTGTATGTGTGTGTGTGTGTGAATCCTCACCTAAATATGATTGCAGGGATTAAGTCATAGCTCCTGGCCCTTCCTCTTCACTGGTCACTACTAGATCCACTCTCTCCCTGCTCCATAAGCTTTATCATACCTCTTCTTAAAGCTATGTATGGATCCTGCTTCCACCACATCACACTCCATATCATTTCACTTCCTGACAACTTTATGACTGAAGAAATACTTCCTATCATCCCAGTGCCTTATTCAAGTCTTCAACTTCCAATTGTGACCCCTTGCTGCTGTGTCCCATCTCTGAAACATCCTGCCCCTTATCCCCCCCTTGTAAATTTCCCTTTCATTATTTTTTTAGGGTTGTTATAAAGTCCCCCCCCCCCCTATGTCCTCCAGTGTTTTCAGGAAAATTTTTCCCTTAAAACTTCCCCTTCATGGAAATACCCGTTAGTACGGGAAAATTTTTTGTTCCCCCCCCCCCAAACTTTTCACTTTTTTAAACCCCTGACAGGGCTTAACCAGGTATTTTTTCCCAAAAACCTGGTGGGGCATACTGAAATAGGGCCCTGCGTACAAAGTTTTACAGAGTCTTAAAACGTTTCCTTACTGGGGGTTTTGAAAGACTCTTTTTTAGGTTTGCCAGGCACCCCATTTTGGCAGAAAGTTTTTGGGTTTGGATTGCCCCTTTCAGGGATGGGGCTCGGTATTTAATCACCCCCAAAGATCTTTTTTTTGGGGAGTGGGGTTTTGGGTTTTTTTTTGGCCACTGGGCTGTACTCTGTCTGTAATTTTTCTTTCCCCTTTCCCCCCGTTTTATAGTCTCCCTAAACCCCCTAGAAATGATAATGGTTTTTTGTACTTAGAAAATAAAAAATTTTAATTACATTTTGGGAAAAAATATGCAAAGAAATAAAACCCTTTAAACCCCCTTTTTCTTCATGATTTTGGTACTTGGTGGGGTTTTTAAAAACTCCAGGAGCCATTTCGGGGAAAAGGTTTCCCACCCTGTCCAGATGGCTTTGTATTTCCTACTTGACCCTCATCCGGCGGGAAATTCCCCTCATTAGTTCACATCTCTCCCAAAACAAAAAACAGCGCCGTCCTAGGAATGCCCCAGTAAAAACCCCCTTCCAGGGGCAGGTGCTAAAATGAAAACCTCATCAAACCATGGCTGTTGTTAAATTCTTGTTAGGTATTCTCTGATCTTTTAAAGTGATTCCCTGTTTACCTGCCTGACCTTGTAGTGTTTTATGTGGTGTCTGTGTGTCTGTTCTTGTAGTGTGTATTTCCCTATTTGTACCCCAACCAAATTTGTGGTTGCGGGGGTTTGGAAGTCCTGGGTCCGGGCCCCCGCCTCTTAAAGGTTTTCTACTAAAACCCTCTCTCTCCCGCTCCTGAGCTTTTTTAAAAATTTGTCTTAAAATTGTGTAGGGTTTCCCTTCCCTTTCCACTACTTTCCATTTTTTGGTTTATTCCCTCCCTTAAAAAACTCAATGACTAAAAGAAATACTTCCTACTATCTCTCGCTCATTTGTGTCTTCAATTTCCCAAAATTGGGGCCCTTTTTGTTTCTGTGTCCCCTCCCTGGAACACCCTGTCCTTGCCCCCAACCTTGTTATTCCACGCAGTTTTTTTATTGTCGTTATCTTGTCTCCCCTGACCCCCCTGTCCTCCAGGGGTGTCGGGGCCTTTTTTCCCCTTTAAATCTTTTTCATAGGACTTCCCTTAGCTCGGGAACTAACCTTGTTGCAAAACCCTTTTTCTTTCTCTGGGTTTCTTGAGGGTGCTTTATCAAGTGGGGTTTCCCAAAAACAGGTGCTGCTACCCCCGTATGGGGCTGAATCCCCGGTGTAAAGTGTTTTGGAATGATTCCTTAAAGGTGTGGGAAAATTGCTGTTTTTTCAGGTTTGCCAGGCCCCCATATGCTCCCGGGCATTTAAATCTGATTGATGTGTGCTTCCGGAGACATGTTTTCGGTGTTTACTCCCCCAAGTTTCTTTTCCTTGAGTGGGGTTTGATTTTTTGGGCCCACCTAGCCTATACTCTGTCTGTGGTCTTCTGTGCCCTTCCCTATCTTCATGACTTTGATTTGGCGGATTAAATTCGAGAACCCATTTGCGGACCAGGTTTTCCCGGTCTGTCCGGGTCCCCTTTAAAAAGTCCCCCCCTGGTCCTCATCAGTTTTTAATTTTCCTCATTAACTTCACTTTTTTTTCCATTTTGAAAAACAGGGGACATTCCCGGGTTTCAAACCCCTTTTCCGTCATGTCGTTCAAAATATCCCAAAAAAATAGCACTGGTCCTAGGCCCGACCCCGGGGGGGGACCCCGCTGGTCCAGGGGGGCCCACTGTGTACTTTTAAAAATTCCCGTACCATGACTTTTGTTGCCTCCCTGTGGGTATTCTCTAAATCCATTGCGTGCCCTTCCTTTTTATATGCCCCTGAGGCTCTAGTTCTGAATTAATCTTTTGGTGAGGAATTTGGTTCAAAACCCTTCTTGCAGCCCAAGAAGATGCAATAAAACCCACCCCTCTTCTTTTGGGGTCTTACTTCTTTTTAAATTTTATCAAAAAAACCCCGAAGGTTTGGGGAAACAGGTTTTGGGGCCTTTCCCGGTTGAATCCGTGCGGGGGTTTGGAATTTTTTACTCCTTTTTCCTTTCCCGGGGGTGCTCCCCCCACTCTCCCCCTGTTTAATTTTTTCCAAAAATTTTGCATTATATCCCGGTTCAATGACAAAGGTCTATAGTTTAGTGCCTCTTTTCTGCCCCTTTTTTTAAAATTGGGAAAAACTTTTGGGCCGTCTTCCATCCCTTTGGGGTGTTCCCCCGTTTCCAGGGTTTGTTTTTGAAGTTTTGTGGTAAGTGGTTACGAAACAATTTTGTCCTCTTAAGGACCCATGGAGAGATGTTGCCCGGGTTTCCCAATTGCCTTTGAGGTACCGATGCCCCTTTAAAGGCATTTTTCTTAACTCTCCTCATTGTATGTATGTCTTTCCCAAACTTTGTTGGTGTTTTTCCCTTGTTGGTGTCCCCTTTGGGTTTCTGTCCCCCGAGCCCTTTCCCTGTCTCTACTGTAAATACTTCCTTAAATTTTTGTTGAGCCCCTAACATACCTTTGAACGTTTCTTGGGGATTTTCCCCACCTTTTTCCTCACCCTTTTATTCACCTGGCCCTTTTGATGTTGTCTTCCCCCAAATGTGGCAAAACACGGGCAGTTTGGGTCAGATTTGTTTCAAATGCTATGTGGGTTTTTATTTTGTCGCTGGGCCCCCTTTTAAATCTGGGGATACTCGTTTCTGGCTTTTCCCTAACCCTCCTTGTTTTTTCCTAGGTCCTATCCCCCCCCTGTACCTTTTCCTTTTTTGTTGATTTATTTTTTTTCCTCCTACCCCTTTTCGGGTAAAAAAAAAAGGAAATTCGTTTTGGTCCCCTTTTTTTTCTTTTTCCCCTTGGGAAAAAAAAACTTTCCTCTGCCCCCTTTTGGCATTTGTTGCCACTATTCCATCCTTCTTTTTACTGTTTTTCCCTAAAATTTCTCTGTCCCATAAAACCTCCTGCGGGAAATTTTTTCTCATACCTGTGTAGTCCCCCTTTTTTTTTTTTTTTGGCCCTTTTCCCCTTCATTTTCCTTTTACCTTTTTCCACTTGAAAAATTTCTATATATAGCAAAACTCAGAAAAAACATGATCCCCTAGCCCCAAGGGGGGCCTTCGAAAGTGATGCCCCTCATGTCTAAAACTGTTTAAGGGTAAACCACAAGACCCAGTTTGCTGGTCATCCTCCCCTCTCTCTCTGGTTGTGTCCCTGACTTTGTTAAATGTTTGGGTTTTTCAAGTACCACATTCCAAATCTTGGCTCTCCCATTTTTGGGGAAACCCCCATGGGGCTCCGGGTTTTCCCCAGTCGTTCTCCCTTTTGGGTTGAAATCGCCCATTCCGGGAATTTTTTGCTTGCTCGAGTGA